TTCCTAGACATTTCTAATTACGGATTTTTTTGCTTTTTCCTCTTTGCTCTTCCCACTTAAAACGAACTAATAAAGCCTATTTACTCAAAATCGCCGTGTGAATTTAATATTGGTTTTATGAGTGCAGAGAGAGAGAGAGAGAGAATTGGTGTCATGTTAAGAGCACTCTTTGTGTGTAGAGATTATTAGGAAAAACAAATTGTTAGACAAATGGTCTCCACCATGATCCTCGTAGTGGGGTGCGTGTTGTAAATTTTGATGTTTCATGTGATCAAACAGTCATTACTGGTGTTGTAGAAATTGGAAGTAGTAAGTAGTGCTAGAGGTGTTGACTAGAACATCATTCACTTTAGTGACAGCTATTGTCGTTGTTTTATATATGAAATAATGTTGAAGAGGTATTCTTACTGCAGAACAGTCTAATTATTCCAAATAAAGGTGGTTGCACTTTGAATTTGTCCAATAGTCAAAATGAAGCATTTTGAATGGAGTGTTCAAAACATTGCTAATAGTAAAGGACTTGACGCAGTTCAGGTGAATTTGACGGAACACCGAGGAGAGTGGGGGGGGGGATAAAGTAAGTTTATTGAAATATGAATGGCCTGATGGAATGAATAAATGCGAAGGAGTGATCTAAATGCATGCATTCAAGCACATACTTCCATTACTTAAATTATCAAGATATAACTACTCCTTGTTTGGTAATGGATCGAATTTGTTGCACTTGAGTGCACGAGCATGAAGCTTAGATGAATGAATAATAAGACGAGAGTTGGCAATGATGAATAAGGAAAAATGAATTTAATTTCAGAACTAATCACCTGAGGAATTAAGTAGTAGCGAATGACTCCCAAAGGGAGACGGATTTATTTCACTTTATTTCCCACCTTAATGTTGACTGATTTCTGTTTTGTGCAAAATGTTAACTAATATTATTAAGAAAAGCACAGGTTAAGTATCATTAGTACCTTAATGATGCGTGTAGTGTTGAAGACAGTATACTCTTCTGAAAATATGGTAAATGACAATTCGTTCTTTAAAAGACATAAATTCAGCTACTGGGAACCGTCTGCCATGAAATACTCCAAAAAATGTAAATGGGCTATAAATGTATAATTAAGCTTTATAAAATGAAGATTACCTCCCTTTAGAAAGCCAACATGGACAGAAATGCTCGTGACTCTCGTGCTGACTGCTCTTGTCTCAATCTTTGGAGGTCTCCTTCTCTCCAGTGGAGCATTCCATGGCTTCTCTCTCTCACTACTATGTTGTGTTATCGCCGGCTGTCATTATTCCCTCATTAAATCCGTCCAGCCAGATCCTGCTTCCCCGCGTCATGGCTTCAATCGTCTGATCATCTACTCAAGAAGTCTTGTCTTCTGTCTACTTGGTTTTCTTTTTGCTCTCACTCTTATTCTCATTCCTTCTGCCCATAATAATGCTGATAGCGATGTTTGTCCAGCGAATTTCAACATTGTGCGGCGAAGGTCATCAACATTTTGGTTTTCTGGCGAGGGGGTGACAACACAATTGCCTTCTTTGGTATGTGAAATATCCCAACTTGATTCCTTATTTTCCTGATCCGTTGCTTATTTCTTTATCATCTTCCCTCTCAGACGCTCTATGGGTGGAATTTGGAAGCCTTATGGATTCTCTGTCTAGCGAAAGACCTATCTGGCTACCTTATTTTGACGTTTCCGCTTATTTGTCTCTTTGGCTTGGTGCCTCAAGCCAATACACTAGTTGCCAATGTTCTGGAGCAGATTGATATTCATGTATTTGGTTCGTCAGGTTCAGTCAATCTCATCTCAGGTGTGGTCTCGGTGTTTCGAAGCTGTCTGGTACTTACCTTGGGTTTTGGATTCTGTTACGCCGCTGTTCTAGTATGTTATTACGTCAGAATGTCAACTTAATCACAGTTCAAATAATCTCATTTTCATTTTTCTAGAATAATAATCCTCAAGATGTTTTCTTCTCAGCATTTTGGGGCCTCTATCTTCCGCTTTGTTACCTCCTCAGTCGTACACCGAATAATGTTGGAATTATGCGCCACATATTCACGCATATATCGTCATTGGATAAAACTGAAACCACTGATTCGAGATACCACCACATCCTTCAACGCATCTCTCTGTGCCTGCAGAAGCTCCTTATTTCCCCAATAAGTTTAAACACTTCGCGTCAACAGAAAGACACTTCAAATACAAAAGCAAAGAATTCTCCAGGCTCTAGTTTTTCTCCCAAACTGGAAAATGATGTCGTTGATAATGCAACATTTTCTTTCTCCTCTTCACGGCTTGTAGGTACTCGTCAATCACAACCCTCTGTTTGGTCCAATTTGAATGGAGTCGGAGAGGCTAATCCAGTAGCAGAGCGATCAGGTTCCTTAAATCTACCCACTCCTATTACTCTTGACTCTCCAAATGGCATCAACTCTGAATCACTTGCCGCCATTGTTGCTTTCAACGAAGGTAAAGCTTAACATATCATCGGCTCTAAATTTTATTAATATCGTTTGTTTTTTTACAGATGAGGAATTTCCAGCACATTGTGGTGATCATGTTCGTGGTGGTAGTGGTCGTCAATCTCTTCAGTCCGTTCACACCACAGGAAAAATCCAAGCAGTGTCTCATCCACAACCATCTAACATGTCATCTGCAATGCTCTCTCCTGTACCTGAGTCGACTTCTCCACCTCTTCTCAATACTCCTCTGAAGCCATCTGCTTTGTTCGGAGATTCTGGAAGCATGATTAATAACACCTCTGATCTCTACGATCCTCTACCTGGACGTATTGTTGCAGCGATGTTGGTGCGCATTCGGAATGACCTCCTTCTTGTCTTTGTTTGGGCTGTCCTTGGCTTTGCCGTTCACGTGAGCACAGTCTTCACGGTGCCCACTCTTCACTCTATTCTACCAAGACTTCTAACTTGGATTATTATTGTGTGTGGTTTTGTGCTCCACTATGTTTGGCCACAGCTAAGAAAGGTATGTCTATGTAGCCATCTATTATGACCTACTGTAAAGCAAGCATTTCACAATTTTTCACAGGTCGAAAACCGCTGAAATGGGTTAGTAGGAGATCCCATAAATGAAAAGTTGGGTTGTTTAATTTTTGCCAATGTTAATTCACGTTCAAAAATTTTGCTTTTATCATTCGTCACCTGAGTTACTGGACGAATCCATACTCACGATATCTAGTGCCTATTGACATGGTGTAATTGATTTTCTTCCAAATTTTAATTTAGCAGAAGAGCCTTATATGGTATTAAACAGAGACATACATGAACTTAACATAACTGACCTGGGATAGTCAAAATGGTCAAACTAAAGCGTTTATAATTCTTATTAAAGGTTTTATTCAAAATGTTTGTAGCCATTTCCCTGGCTCCTATTTGCGCGCTCTGTCTGCCCACCGTCGATGAACGGTCAAGTGACTGGCCTCGAGATCGCCTACCACTGGTGTCATTGGTTTGAGAGGTATTTTCTAGTCCCCGCGGCAACTATGGCAACTACTACTAAGGCATTGGTGCCTCTTTGTGAAAAATTTAATCCGATGTGAGTTTAGCTACTAATATCATTGATTGGAATTTAATTGGCATATCGTTATTTGTAATTATTGTTTTTTTCATCATGGGAGTTTGGAATTTTTAATCAGTCTTCAAGACGATTGTGTAGGAGATTTTGAAACGATTCCTTGAATCAAAGCCGTATTGCTTCGGGACTCTGAAAATGTCCAAGTTTAGCTTCTCTATTTTTATTTTCTTATTCGCAATTTCATGGAATTTCTTATCTACCCTTTATTGTATGAATATTACACAAGGTCTGCGGTTTAATGGTGGTCTATCCTTCAGCACCTTTTCCATCTCACAAGCATTTGTCAGGGTTCAATGACACCGAAAATCTGCGCAGGCTATTTATTATTTTCCCACACCAATGCAGCACGTTGTAGGTGTCCTCGTTAGTGCGGATTAGGTTATCTTTTATGTCTACGTCGAAATCCCATCATTATTGTCGGATATCGTAATCATAGGGGCTTTAATCTTCTTAATCCAGCCTCATTTAAAATACTTGAATTTCCTCAATTGGATGAAGTTAATATAATTACATGGAAGTTTGCTTGATAGGCGTGATTCTATGATTATGCATCGATGTTTCTCAGTGAGTCAGGTTTCCTTGGTAGATTATGCTGGATTGAAGAATGGCACAAGAGTCTATTTGTGTAGCATACATCAGTTCTTTAAGACAAAGTTGATAAATTTAATCTGTCTGGGTATGGAGTGAGTTTGTCGCTATGCCTCCAGAATAAAACTGATGACTCCCTATTGAAATTTTTATAAATTAAATCGAGATATGGGTTCAAATTACTCGCATAAACTTAAAAGATTTCAATAGTTTTCATTTCTAGGGAGTAATTCTAACATTTACTTGAACTCTCCTAGCTTGTATAAAGTTACAGTGGTTTTGATGTTGAATGGTGACTTTTTGCGATAATTTGAGTTTCCAGTCTACTTAACTCAATCCAAAATAAAGACGCAGTGGTTACCCTTAAAATCCTTCTACGATTCTAACTTTTGCATTTAAAATCCAAAATTTAACCAACTCCCTTTAGGACGATCACTTCAAATTGCGTGAATGTAGTTACCGAGTCTCGTATTCATCTCGAATCAAAATGTCAGGCCCTTAATACAATCTGTAAATGAACAAACTGATTACTTCCATGGAATTAGTCTTGTTTTCCTCTTGTCTTTATATTATTTATTGCCAATTTTAACAAGTGCTTGCAGAGGCAAAATCTGACCAGTTCATCGTTTTTACCTCACTTTCCAGTGTGGCAACATTAATCATACTGGTAACATCAATGAAGCTACTACGACATGGTTTCTCCGGAGGCACTCGGATTTTCCTCAACTTCTACTTTGCTGAAGTTCTCTTCACATGCGACTTCCCAGGGCTCAGCGAAACCTTTCCTCTCGACTACTTCTTCATCTCAATTGCCCTTGCCAAGGCAGGCCGTGCTTTATTAATAATTCCTAACATTATGGTGTATCCTATAGAGTATATAATGAATACACACGGGATTTGTTTGCCAGAATTCGTAGCTCCAGTCAATCTAAAAATCTTTTAAACATTTATACTATCTGTTGATGCACTTCCTCAAATTATGCCATAAAGTAGGTATTGTGAAATATGATCAACACTCATTTGAATGCCTAAAATTCCCTGATCACCCTTTGTATAATGGTAGTTAGTCGAGGTGTTAATTCGGAAATAAATGTACCTGGACGTTATTTCATGAGGGGGAGGGGGGAGGGCGAATTCGTGTAAGTGTCAGAACAGTGGTTCACCTACACGTCTACCAACTTCATTGATTGGCTAACCAAATGCAGATATTGTTGCGGTAGAAAGTGTGTATCTTGAAGGCGGCTGCAGGACATCTTCTTTCTAGTCATATGTGGGGTTGTGAATACTTCTCTCAATTGCATGGGAAGATTTTTAGCTTATGATGGGAAGGGGGTTTAGGGAAAGAATAAGTGTTACAAATTCGACTATGAGGTAGCAATAAAAGAAGGACCAGTTTCTGTTTAATGCATAAGAGATGGCTTATCCCCAACCAAACTGGAATAAGACAGCATAGCATAACAATTATGTGTTTTCTCGTTTGAGACCGGTAGTGAGTTGAAGGTATGTGAAATCAGAGGCTAAAAAGTTTTTTGATTAATTTAATGCATATTCATTGTATGTGTAAAATGAAATGCCTCTTATTCTTTCTCTTCTATTTAGATGACTGAATTGTGGAATAAGCTGTCATTTGTGTATATCTACATTGCACCATTCCAGGCCAGTTGGGGCTCCATCTGTCACGCTGTTGCTCAACTCGCCTCCATCCCACGTATGCGCATTCCCCCCCTCCCTCCCCTCACTAGTTATCTGGCCACATGTTCTCTTGATCCAGCATTCCTTGTTCGTAGTTCAGTTTGTCATCTATTAGTAATGCGTTAAGTCTTTTATTGTCTTAATTTAATCATAATCCTAACTTGTCTCAGATATCTCAATGTGTTACTCATATTTTGATAAAGCTATTGACTCTATCCACTAAAGATATTGGGCAGAAATTAGAGCCTATTAGACCGTAATCACTATTAAGGTTGGTCTTACTGACAAAGCGAGTTAATGTGGAAACAAACAGAGCCTCAAATGTATATGCAAGATGAAAATAAGGACCGAGAAGGTCACAATTCTCTTTCATCAAGGTGCATGAAGATATGCACATCTTACCGGTATCTAATAACCGGTATTCTCTCATGATTCAGATATCACTTCATTTCAAATCAATCACAATGAGCTTTTGATTAAAAATTTATTCTAATAGAAAAATTGATGAAGATGTACTGTGCCAAATACACTAAATAAATGAGAGCTGTTGATGAAATTGAGCAGTTTGCCTGGCAGTTGTTCAATGAATCCCATTTGTTATCTTTTTATCCAAGTTTATTTTGGGAGTATTTCTAGAAGATAAATTATTTAATAGCCTAGAACCTACGGATATAATGAAATAGTTAACTCATTGAATCCATTTTTCATATATTTTCCGATTCCCATAATTCCATCGTTTCCACTCTTTATTCCATGGTTCTTTTCGATCCATTTCTATTAAATCGGAATCGAATTGAACTCATGCAAATCCATTCACATTCTGATCGCCATTCGTCCTTCAATAGAGATATCTGATATATAACCATCTAAAATTCTTACTTTTTCATAAATTATAGATTTCATTTCGACATTGGGAAATTGCATTTTGTCAACACTGCTGTCGGCACCATTGGAGCCGTTTGTGGCCAGTGTCTTTTTCATAACGTCATACGCACGACCAATCCGATTTTGGGAAGCCACTCAAAAGTAAACACTCAATTCGCTTAAAACTATGCTTATGCTTAGAATCCACCGAATTGAATCCACCAATACTTCACTTCTTTCTCAACTTCGTGGGGTCTCCTTTGAACAAGTGAGTGCTAATCTCAATGCCATATTCTATGAGCATATTGCTCGATGCCTACAACAACGTCTAGCTGGCGATATTGAGCTGGGACGCTGGTCTGGTGGTGCGGTATGCGCTGGAGATATCTTTATTCTAGCATCCGAAGATCTCCATTTCTTACTACATGTTATTGAGGTGGGCAACGGACTTGTTACCTTCCAAATGCGCGGTCTTGAGTTTGTCGGTATGGCATTTTCCGCTAATCTGTATATAATTTGAATTGCTAAATTCGGATACCATTTTTTATCGAAAAGGAACTTATTGTCATGAACAGGAGAGCAACGGCCTGTCGGAGCCTCAATTGGGAGATCGTGACTGCTGCTGTTGTACCCTTCACCACCTTCCACCTACTCTCTTGTCTCCTAATGGGGCTGTTCGACTGCGTTGGTTGGCCTGGCAATTTGTGTACGCCCCCTACACCATTGAGGCATATCGTCTAATCGATCATAGTGCAGCCACCTCACTTCAAGTTATCGATTTTCGCAAAATTGTAGTTTCTCTTTTCATTCAGGTTAGTATTTGAAACGATTTATTACCATTAGAGGATCAGTAAAATTGGATTTGGATTTGAAGGAATTCGAATTTATTTAACTTAATTCAAACTATCTGTATTCCATTTCTTTCGAACCCTGCTCTTCGTCAAACTCCAACTCTGTTTTACTCGTCGCATGTGTTAGTTAGGGTGGCAGATGAGTGTGCATTTTTAAATGTGGAAATGCAAAAATGATTCAATTGCTTTTATTATGTCTAAATTTAAGTTTCTGTGCCCCCAAACACCTCTGATGAAAGTAAAATCTTTAAAGTCGAGCCGAAAATATGAATACACATTGAAGATCAACGAACCATCGACGATTACTCTAATGCCTAAGCCGAAGGTGATGGTGGAAATGGGAAATCAGTTCACATTAGTAGAAAAAACCTTCGAATAGCCTACTTATTTATTTGTTATGAATGTCATTTTCTGACACTATTGAGATATTCAATTAGTCCTCACACATTTTGCAATTTTATCATAACCTGATGCATCCCACGCTCATGATAGTTTTAAAAATTTCTCAGATAATGTTGGTGGTTGGGATGGTAGGAAGTTTGAAATGACTGGTTCAAGGTCCTGTTACAGTGGGTGGTTCGTTCCAAAAGTCAAATTTCTTGATATAAATTTAGTTGTTGAAAGTTAATTCAGCATTCGGAGTTCCCTTCCTGAAATTCTGTCGATTTATTTTTGAAGCTTAATGTTCGCATTTAGCAATTTGCCACAGTCTTGCATGCAAGAGGCATTGTCTTAGTTTTGGACTATATAATAAATCTAATTTGTTTGGGCAATGGGGGAATGAACGGGTGTTTTCCAAGATTATAGTGAACTTAGTAACATATATGAATGTTTGTTTCCTCTCTACTTTACAACTGAATTGAAACAGATGCAATGCTCCATCAGTTTAACCAAACTCTATGGTGATCTGGACAGTTCCCATTAACTGAGCAATTTGCTCTCAGCAGTCGCAGTTCACTCACAAATTCAGGAAATTTAAACATTTACTCCCCGAATCCTTCAGATTTATGGCATTTTAAAAGTCGCTTCTATCTACCTTCACATCTTATTCCTATTTCTTTTTTCTATGTATTTTATAGTGTTTGCTCTACTTCGCTGCGAGACTCCCGAATCTTTCTGTCCGACTTCAGCTGCTCTCTCCTGAGTTACACGAACGCTTCGCTGGGGAAAATACGGCTGATTTGGATCCGGCTTTCAGCAGATTTTTTGACGAGGATTTTGATGAAACTGTGTCTGGTGTCACGCGAGTCGCTTTTTTGGGTGTCTATGCTGAGTGGATTCGATATTGTCTTTCCAAGTGCCCTCAAAACATGGTATTATGCTGTTTTATTCACTTATCTGCTTACAGCGACCTGATAAAGTTTAATTTTGTGGTTTTTTTGAGGCTGTGGATTCGTCCGACGGTTCCGATTTCCTTACTCTTTGTTACGCCATTTCTCTACTCGGTCGACGATGTCTTGGTGGCGTTTCAGGTTACGTAAATAATGGGTGAGTGGACCGGTATTTATGCTATTTTAAATTTGGCTTGCTTTTAGAATTAAAATACTCGTGCGTTACCTTAAATTGCCTCAACGCCAAAATTAATATACTAAAGAGACTTATTCGGAGAAATATAGAGATAGATATTAGATTATATAACGATATTCGCCTGTGGTCAACGTGCATGCCTACAAAGCGAATAACTTGAAATCGATTCCCGTAGTTGTAAGCTACTCGCGTATTGATTCGAACGTGCCCATTAATTTTTCTCGGCATGGGAAGTGAAAGGATGTGTTTCTCGTCAAAGAGCTTTTAAATTTATCTTCTTTCTACCCAGGTGTTGGGGATGGTGAGGAGTAGCCATCTTGTCAGATTGCCCACAATTAAGATGAGCATATTTCGTTTTGCTGTCTTCTTCATTAGTTCCACGAAATATGTCCACGTTACCTTCGTGGCTCTCTACTGGTACTAACGGAACTTTCCCCAATTATTCACTAAAGCGTACTTTATTGCTTTCTAGATCAATAAGGGGGGGGGGAGTGTATTAGGGCGGGAATAAAGAGAAGTGAAGATTGGTAAGTCTGGGACTGGAGGTTAAAAATAATTGACATGTTTGCAAACCCCGCCCCAAAGTATATTGTGGTTTCTATTTGGAAATTGCCCATTTTGCAAACGGACGTTTGTGCTCGATTCGTGTTCAGACACAGTAAATTAATGAACTATGTAGGTTTCATTTTTAGCGAATAAAGTTACTCGAGGGTAATAAATTTCATTTTATTGTTATTTGCAAAATTGTCCAAACTCAAAATAACAGAGAACACATCAGACACTGAATGCTACTATTTTTTCCATCAGGGCTGGAACAACTGCAAGATTACTATAGCTGTTACTGAGATTTTTGTTTTAAGTTTCAAATCGGCTATGTTTATTTAACTGGAACGCTAGAATCAGAACGATGCACAAATTTTGATGATGACGTCTTAAATTCCTTTGTTAACTCAAATCCTCTTTAACCTGTGTAATAATTATCGTCAAAACTCACATGCTCATGGTGAACTGAAGCCGATCGCTAAATTTAATAAGATGGGAATTTGAGTGCTGTCTCATGAACTCTCTCAGTATAACAATAAAAAAAATTATGATTGTTCCTGGGTTGACTCTTCATTGATCTCTTTACATTTGGTGGATTTGAGAGAAACAATCACTGCGAATAGCTGAAATCTGTCGAAACAATTAAGACTGAAGTATATTGTCAGCAATTATAATGGACAAATGCTCTAATTTTATTTAACAGTATAACAGGGATAAAGTTGTAAAGTATTTTATGCCGTTTTTATAGTGCGATTTTTCTTTTTGTTACTCCCTTATACATTTAGGGTATTTATAGTTAGGCATGCTGGTATGCAAGTAAAGTGTGTAAGCTAAAGTAAATAAGCAAATATCCTTTTACCACTTTGTAAGCTTTTAATTGACTTCCAGTCTAGAGACATTTCTTCACTACCTTCACGACGTATTCAAAGGAGACGTCCAAATATCTATCAAAGACGACTGGGTGTTTGCTGATGTCGAAATTCTCAACCTAGTTGTAACTCCAGCAATGCGAGTTGCTTTGAAATTGTATCAGGTAATAGTAGATTTTCCGTTGTTCTGATTCTGATTGATTCTGTGTTCAATTTTAACGATATCTTATTTAGGATCACTTCACATGGAATCCTCTTTCAACAAATCATGAGTTGTATCATGCCATTTGGAGTACTACAGAGAACGTTGTCATCTGCCATGAAACGGATCCCCAATGGCGTTCAGCTGTTCTCAATGATGCTGAAAAACTTTTCTCGTTTCGCCGAATTGATTCAGGTACTACGCAGCAATGCTTCCGTTTCATCATGATGAATAAACAGCCCCTCTCCTTCCAAGTCATCAAGGTGAGTCAGCTTATCTACTTGCATTACCTTGAAGTAGAATAAAAATATATAGCTCTTAATTTTTTGCTAGTTAAACAGTGAGTGTGTTAGAGGATTTTGGGCTGGTCAATTGAGGGAGCAGATTTTCCTGCGAAATAAGAATGCGGAGAGAGGCAGTATTCAACACGCGAAACATGTTCTCCGCAACCTGATAAACTCGAGCTGTGATCAACCTGTTGGCTATCCCATCTACGTTAGTCCATTAATCACAAGTTTTGCAGAGAGTCATCCTCAGTATCGGAACATCTCCTGCCCAAACCTTTCCATTCCTGGTGTGATCCGATCTCTATGGATTCTTCAAAACCGTGTCAAACAATACTGCAAACGAAGTTATCACGGAAGAGGCAGCGATAACAGTAGGTTATTGCATCTAATTTTGAAGAATATCCAATCCCCCGAAAAGTTTTTTGTTCAGAAAATGGTTATAAGTAGAGATTAAATCCTGTTAGTCTGTTTTGCTTTAGTGTTGTCTATCATGAGGGTTTAGATGGACTAGCATTTAGGCATTTTTTCATTTTTCCCTCAGCTTCTCGTAGGATATACTTTCTTTCTCAACTAGTCTGCACATAATGGTAGAATAGTGAGAAATGCGCTGTAATCACCAAGACTTATTCTATCAACCACTCAGAAAAGATAGGATGTCAGGAGATGTAGTGGTCTGTATTTGGTGGTGCATGCCTTGAGCGCAGCGAATAACTTGGGGGGTTTACAGAGAGCTTTTATATAGTTTAGGATTCAGGGTAACCTCACTACGTCAGACCGTGGTGGTGTGAAAGTAAATTGACGAAAACTTAAGTCAAACTGTTTCATTGTGTTGACCTCAGATTATGTCTTGAACCGGCTCTCAGATGTTAGCTCTAATGGTGGCATCGGGCTCACTTACAGCAGTCAATATTTAGAAAATATGGGGGGGGATTTACTTTAAATGATCATAAATATGAAAATTTTGGCTTGATTTATATCTTAAGTTGTTAATTATAAGTTGGAAGAACAGGCAATCGAAATGGCTTTCGTTGGGTTCCATCACGAAAAGTAGACTTTGCATTGCAGAATTATTTGATCCAACTGTTCTTATTACAGTAGAACTGCGTCGTCTTCAAACCTCAAAATTCGCCGTCCGGTCTTGTTCTTTCTGCCCTCATGAATCCCCATATCCTCAACGCAATGATCAGAATGTTTCTTCCAACTTGCACACCTTTTGGCATTTTCAGCAACGTCAGCAGGGCCATCATTTATTTCGAATGGGTCACCACCGTCAACATCAGCACTCTTTGCGTGAAAGTGGGACTGCAACATCGAGTCTATTGGCAGCAGGGTGTGGCAGTGAATTGGCTTCCTGGTGTTCTGAGGTTGCGGCAAATTCTGGAGTAGCTACAACGACTACATCTGCCTCCCCTCCCTTACCTCCTGCATGCACTTCTCTCTCTGCTGGTATCGCGGCGGCATCTTCTTCCGTTTCTAGCAGCACAACAGCCGTCGTACATCAATGTGATACTTCCAGTCGCCGTGCTAAAGTAATCAATTATTCAATGTATATATATTTTAGAAGGAGAACTAGCATGCTAGGTATCTGGTTTTTTGGTCCTTCTATTTTTTCTGTCGATCTTCAATCCGCCAACAAAATAAGGAACGAAGTAAATTGCACCAACAAGGGGATATTTTTAAAGAAGACTTTGAAAAGAGACATTGAGTGGTCATGGGAGCTAGTTAATGCATGGATTTAGCAGAGGAGGGGGAGGGGGCTATTCTGTGGTAATTAGGATTCTTACCTACTTTCTAATATTTATTTATTTATATCCAATGACAGGCTTTATGATGGTTATCATTAACCCTTTAGTTGACTTTGGGCTTCACAGAGAGGAGAAGGAACATCAAAGTCACAAAAGTCGAGAGCGGTATCAGAAGAGTGATTTACTGATGTAAAAGCGACAGACAGGCACAATGGTAGAGAAAAAGGTAAGGTAAGTACTGTTGAGGGGGTCGAATATGACATAGAGTGGGGTCATGGTAGTTTGAAGTCAGAAGTCAACTGTCGATTAATAGACTTTTTTGTCGTATGAGTATACGTTGCTCAGGGTGCACCACGTGGAGGTAAGTCTATTGCGCACCCCACTTTCTAATATATGGTGTCGTAATTACCTCTTAAATACTCAAAGAAGTCTGGAATTGTGCCTTGTGGTTGACAGGCCCATTTGTTGATAATGCAAGAGCACTGCTTTCTTTATTCCTAATCATTCAAATACGGTTTTCAGCTTTGCGCTTCACTGTTTTTGTTTGAATCTCCTTAGTTGTGAATTCACT